GGGGGTTTTTACCCACGAAAGCTTATGCCCAAATAAAACTGTTAGTCTTTAAGGTGCCACCAGACTCCTCGTTGTTTTTGTGGATACAGACTAACACGGCTACCCCTCTGATACAGTACTTGGTAACCATCTATGGAATCCTCCAGGAAAGATAAGGTAGAGAAGACTTCAAGGGACAGATTTTCGGAAGTGCTCAGCGCCCACCTGCTCCCTCTGAGAACACTGGAAGTTGGTTGAAATCCTGCCCATCTCATTCAAGGATCTAAATGAAAGCTGAGCTCTTTTGAAAACCTAGCGAAGTACAGTATTTAGGGGCCTCCATGGCACCCATTGAGTGCTGAGCTCTTTTAGGAAGCTGGCACCCCATTTCTAGCCCAAACAAACAAGCAGAAAATAGCAGCTCTTGAAAACACCTTTCAGGCCCTTCATCGTGGATCAAGAAGCAATAAAATGAGCACACGACCAAGATTTTTCTTCCTTGTAGAACTGACCTGCAAAGAGATGCTGTCAAGGGTGGTGATGGGCTCAAAGACATGACTCATCATTTCTCTTCAGTCTCTTTGCAAGCCCTATGCATTTATTCATACAGAGTTTTTCTTCTCTCAGAAGAAAAAGCTTTAATGCTCTTCTTTCTTTACAGACAAATCAATTGCAGCAGCCCAGCACTCTCAGCAACCCTACAACAAATCAGTGTGTAGGCACAAAGGTGAAACACAGCAGTCCTGCTTCCAGCTCCAAAGATCAGCATCAGCAAAAGAAAGGGTTTTCAGAACTATGGAAAATACTCAAGCAGAAATCTTTTCACAGTTCTAAAAACAGCCAGAAAATACACACTGGCTACAATTAAGTCCACATTTTCCAGCTGTTTTTTTCCCTACAAGATGAGAACTTGGGTTGATTTTCAATTTTTCCCCCAAGACCAGATAATTCTGGAGGGATTCTTTTAAATGCATTCCCCTTATTCTGCCATCAGTGTTTGTATAAGAGCCACATCTAGAGACCCCAGTCTAGGTCTGGGCCCACTGTGGGCTGGGCATTGCACGGACACACAGTGAGAGAACGCCCTTGTCCCAGAGAGCTTACAGTTTACACAGACAGAGTGGGAAGTATTGTGTCAGTCTTACAGATGGGAACTGAAGGCCAAGGCGGTTAAGTGACTTGCCCAGGGTCTCACAGGGAGTCTGTGGCCTAGCTGGGAACTGAACCCAGAGTTCCCGAGTGCTACTCATTCTCTCAAAGCTCTATTTGCTTGGATAGATTTTCACAGGACACCATAACCACCCACTCTATCAGCTGGTTCAGACGGACCCCCACCCACAAAATCCAAGTCAGCCAGGATAAACTCCCCAAGCTCCACTCCCTCACACATGAACCTTGGAGTCTGTTTGAAAACCACGCCCACCAAATCTCAGAACACAATAACAAGGGGACATTCAGTGGAATTCAGAAGGTGACACATTCAAAACCAACAAAAAGGAAATATTTTTCCACATGCATAATCAGACTGTGGAACTCAACGCCACATGATGTCATTGTGCCCAAAAACTTAGCAAGATTCAAAAAGGGACTAGATATTTATCTGTATAGCTAGATTATCCAGAGTCATAGCTAATGCCAGCAGAGTTTTTGGAAGGGATATTAAACCTCCTGCTTTGGAATTTAAGCCAATCTCTGACTATTAGGGACGAAAAGAAAGACCTAACGTGGGAAGGCAGGTTACCCCACATCTACCTACTGCGGGGTTTCTTGTACTGTCCTCTGAAGCACGTAGTCCTGCCCACTGTCACACACAGGACCCTGGACTACATGGACCTCAGGTCTGATCAAGTGTGGCAAATCCTACAAGGGCTTTGCTGGGCCAGGTGGGACAGTGAGTTGAGGAATGTGCCCTGCCACCAAACTAGGAGGCTATTAGCAACCCAAAAGGTGAAAGCTGCCATGATACCTGCTGGGTAGAGAGATGTCTCAGGTAGCCAGGCCCAGCCTGTTTAGAACTGCATACAATACGTCAAAGGCCAATCCCTTTGATTCTCCCTGGGCACCGGTACCCATTGGCCAGCACAGACCATTCAGCCCCACAGGGATGTGCTGTCACTATGAAGCTCCATTGAATAATATAAATTTCCAAAAGGTCTGCAGGTGCAGATGCCGCTGAGGTCACAGTCAGAGTCTAATCTGGAGGTGCCAATGGCACGGATCAGTGTAGCCAGGTCTTGCATGTGAAAAGACAGGTGCAACCTCTCGCCATGTGCAGCTGGAAATAGCGCTTTCACCACAGCAGTTCCCTGAGCATTCAAGGATCCAACCCAGCCCTCACAGTAACAGATGGGGGGTCCACCCAGGCAGGGGAGGGGACGGATATAGATCTCCACGATTTCTAAGGGGAATGCTACTTTGCACTTCCTTAGTGCCTGTCATACAAGGTTCTTAAGTGTGTTACTGGGACCAGTGCTGGATGTATTCTGAATCAGGATTTCCTTTCCTACATGCTTTATGGTTTCCCTTTACTCTTTATAGAAACTCTGCCATGAAGATCCTTGTGTCTGGCTCACCAGCGCAGTCTCGCTCGGACCGTGATCCGGAGTGTCTCAGGAGTGGTTATTTAGTGCTAGATCCTGCACCCAATGAGGTCAATGGCGACTTTTCCACTGGTTTCAGTGGGAGCAGAATCAGCCCCTTGGCCAATTAAAAGCCTTAGGCGTTGCCTTCCTGGCGCAGGAGATCTCTGTGCAGAGTGGCTTCCCTCCACCCTTAGAGAACAGTAGGGAGGAGTCTGGAAATCCCAAGGAAGCTGTTAAGGCCCCTGCCGCAGCCTCCTGGCTAGCAGCCGCTAAGAGGCAGGCAGCACTCCTTACTCCCACTTACGCAGTCTTCACCAGGCAGCAGCTTCTGCCTGACGAGCCAAGTGCTCTCCCCATCCTGCCTTCCTTGTCGTGAGCTGACAGCAAATTGTGCTGCTGGCTTCAGAGCAGCTTCCCTTTACACTCAATACAAAAATCATCATCATCATCCAGGGCCCAGGTGGGGAGAATCGATGGCCGCAAAGTTCACAGGCCCCTTTTTATTGGCACACCGGCTCCCTGCCTGGCAGGAGCGCCAGGGCATGCCCATACTCCTCAGGCCCAGGGCTATACTTAAGCAAGGAAGTCAATGCGAGCCGAGCGGAGCAGCTGGAGCCTGACAGCCGCTCACTCCCTTCAGTTAATCCTGCTGCAGAGTGACAGCAGGTGGAGTATTTTACAGAGCAGGAGAATAAAACCAGAGGCCTCTATCAGCAGTACCTAAAGCAGAGCTGGGCCTTCTGCGAAGCCACGGTCTAGGCCAGTCATTCGCATGGCAGCAGCTACTTTGCATGTGATCATGTGGGGGTGCCCGGCTGGAGTCCTGAGTGGGCTCTGGCTGTTACCCGAACCATGGTCAAACCCTGGGAAAGGATACGCTGAGGCACATCCCTGCATTGACTCCCAGGGATCCGCGGGGCTTGGATGGAAACCTCTCACGTGCCTTTCACAGGGGATCCGTGCAGCGCTGTACTCTGCCACCGCCCATTTGAACTGACAGGCCTAGCAAAGGCTGTGTTAGATCTGAATCAGGTGGGAACCCTGATGGACACCATGCGGCTACAACCTCACGGTACGTGCTGCATTGGGAGTAAATGAGTGTGGGGTAACACTTACACCTTACAGCGTGCGTGGTACGCCAGGAAGCAGTGTGATGCCCAGCCCCCGCAGTGATGGGCACCTTAGATCAGACAGCCAAACCCTGCCCTGCTGTGCGTATTACCTGAGATGGATGCAGGTAGGGCTCTGGAGAAGCCAGGTTGGTCTGCACAGACACACTCTTCTCCAGCAGGATCTGAGGGAACCCCAACTTCTCAAAGGTATTCCTCTTCCAGTGCTTGCTCTCCTGCTGGGCCAGGGCCTCATCCTCGCTGAAGGCCCGCACCACGGGGCCGGGCATAGGTAAAGGCAAGGCGCCATCGCTCTCATAGCCTGAGCCGTCCTTCTGGGAATCCCAGCTGCTCCGCTGCTTCATGTGGTAGTGAGCCTGCTGCGCCTCCCATGCCAGCCGGGCCTGGGCCAGGAAGGGCTCCGGGAAGCCCCGCACTGCCTCAGCCTCAATGGATTTGCTCTCTGTGCGGTTCATCTGGGGCCTGTAAGTGCCGGGCATGGGCCTCTCCTCTGCCATCAGCGGCTCGTTGAGCGCCTCCCGATCCCCCGAGCCATCCGTCGAGGAGGTGTTGGGGTCGTGGGACAGGGAGGGCTTCCTGCTTTTCCTTTTCCTGGTGCTCGGTGAGTACCCTGTAGAAGACATGGTGTCCTGCTGACTGGACCATGACATGGAGTCTTCCCCCTGGGAGGCCTGGTTCACGGGCTGGCTGTGTCGGAAGTCAGCCCCTTCCATGCTGCTGTAGTCCCCAGACTTGATCTCCAGGCGCTGATCCCTCACCAAGCAGGGGCTGTGTTGCAGTGAGTACGAGCCACCTATGGGGTTGGGGGAGTATTTGTGTCGCAGGCCCGTTTTCAGCTTGGGGCTGGAACCGGACTGCTCCACGTAAACCAGCTGCCTTACATACTCCTTGCCTGCAGGGCTGTACTCCAGACTCATGAACCGCTCAGGGCATTTCTGTTTGGTCAGCACCAGCTGCTGGTAGGGGGAGTTGGGGCCTTGCTTGGGCGACTGCAAGAAGGGGTGGGGTTTGCGGATGGGCGATTTCTGCGGGGAGCCCGCCTTGTAGTTGCCGCTGGCTTCATACTGCATGTCCACTGGGGGCTCGTCATAAATGGGGGCCTGGTACTCCATGGGGGGCTCCTCGTACAAGGGGGGCTCGTAGGCGTAGCGAGGAGAAGATGGCTGGGACTCACTCGAATGCTTCCGGTGCTGGGACTGGAGCGGGGAGCAGAATGAATCCCCCCGACTGAGCAGCGGGGAGCAGCTGCCCACGTGGTCAGCCCTTTTCAAGAAGGGAGACTGCTTCCTCTCAGGGAAGAAGACGGAGTTGTCAGTGTCAGGGGCAAACGTCTGCAGGTTCGGGGACTGCTGGCCCCCTGACGGCCTCCGTGAGCGGGTCCCCTGCTGGTTGTCGGTGGTGTAGCCGTTGCCCTGGTGCATGAGGAAGCTCGGCTCGCGGTCCGTCACCTTGATCAGCATGCGCTCCTTGGTGCCGGTGTTCCATCGCAGGGAGGACGTCCTGTGCGAGGCAGAGAACACACAAGCCATCGTCAGAAAGGAGGGGCAGGGGGAGTGGGGTGTTTTCATGCAAAGAATAAAGAGCATTTGCCTGAGAATTTTTATACTGTGTGTTAGGTTTCCAAAAGATACCCACTTCCACCTCCCAGGGGCACATACACTAGCATAAGCAGGTGGCATCCCCACCCTGCCCCCAACACAGACATACACACTGGAGAACATCCACATTTAGTTCCTTCCAAATATAAACCGCAGCCCAAGCGTCCTGAGTTAAGTTGTTCCTAGAGTTTTTCCCTGCAGGACCTCCTGTGTCTCTACCTAGTTCCTTCTGCCTTAGAAACTCTTAACCCTTTTACGCACCCGAGTTGGAGGTGATAGGAGCCATTTGGGCTGGGTGCCCAGGTGAGTTAGCAGAAGAGCTCTGAATTTCTGTGCAGTGTTCTAAGCACCTGGCTCTCCATCACAATTATTTAACACATTCCATTTGCACAGAAACAAAGGTGTTCCCAGAAGGTGGCCAACCTTACCCCACTCCCCCAGCAAGAGTGATGGGCCTAGCCCAGCTGTTGAGACATTAAAGTCAGCCTCTGCC